GTGAAGGCTCGTGCCAAGAGAGCACAGGGGAATGAAGTTGAAGATGAAAAGAAACCGGTGAAGGCTCGTGCCAAGAGAGCACAAGAGGAGGAATGTGAGGAGGATGTCAAGGATAAGCGAAAGGGCCGAGGCCGTCCTAGTGCCAAGACAAAGCCTAAGTCAAAGGCAAAGTCAAAGGCAAGGGGCAAGCCTGATGAGTCGAGAAAAGATGTGGAGGAGACAAAGAAACGTGTTGCGGTGCCTGGCTTCCCCTTGACGTTTGCGCGTCGCTACCGACCAGAAAGTGAGTCATCTGCTGCTCACTGGGAGGCGAAGGTGAAGTCGTTTTTGCTCTATGTGCTGCCAAAAATAGAGAAGAAACAGAAAACACAGTTTGAGGCCTGGTTGATTTTGACCTACAGCCTGCATGTGCACCAATTGTGTTTGTTTCATGGTCTGCACTGCAGGTGAAGTTCTGGAAGTTTGCCACCGATGACTGGTCCATGAATGGTGAAGATGACAGTTTGAAGGGTCTCTCGGACTTCTACAAGACGAGTGCTGAGAACTTCTGTTCGTGAAGGACACCTTGAATGTTTTTGCTGTATAGGTGGTGTGTTGCTTGCTATAGTGAGAGGATCTGAAGCTGCCTGATGAGCCCTGATGAGTGTGAGCGATGGCAGCAGTTGCTGCAGACATCATTTGCTTAGGGTGGCTTCCCAATGTGGAAGTATGGGGTGCAAGTGTTAGGTCTGTGGCTGGCTCATGGACAATCATAGTGGGACCGATGAACTAGCAGCTGTGAGGGATCAAATGTGCATGCTGTGTACCAGTGTGGTGTGCATGCTCCATGGGATTGTTTGCCAAACTTTTTTTGTTGATCCTTCATGGGATTGCTTCATGATTGTGTGCCACACGTGGCAATCATTGAGGTCCACATGGTGAAGAAAAGGCTTGCTGGCTATCGCTCCATGGCCCGCAATGGCCAGTTGAGGCAAGTGATCTCTCAGGGTGTTGCTGACACGTGTTGCTGATGTTAATGAAGTTTGCAATACGAGACCTTTGAGACTTTGGTTGAACAAGCAAGCTTTTGATGCTGCTGCATGCAGTGTGAGGCTCGCCAGCTATATAGGGACTAAAAGACATGTGCATGAGTGCATGCATGTGTGAACTGCATAAGCAATCAAGCAATGCGCGCATGGGATGTGAATGGTTTGGTGATGAGCTTGTTCAAACTCAAATGTCCTAAGGAACCTTGGCAGCAATTCATTATTTGCGTTGGTGCCTGGGCCTTTGTAGGCCTTGGGCGCTTGGGCTTTTGCCAGCCTGCCTTTGGGCCTTTGGGGGCCTAAAGGATTAAGTCTTAATGTTTGGGCCTTTGCAGGCCCAGTGTTTGGGCCGTTGCTGGCCTTGGAGTGCTGGAAGTTGCTTACCTGCCTTTTGTGCTAGGTTTTCGTGCTGATCGTACTACTGGTGGTATGGAATGAAGATCTGGGTGTTCAGAGCCAGACTGGGAAGGCCGATATTCGTGCTGTTGAGTGAGTGTGCATGACATCTCCTTGATGCCAGCTTGCATGTGAATGGTCCTGCAATTTGGCCTTTCAGCAGTCTCTTGGCTCAAGATGCCAAGGGGCAAGGCTTCCACAGGAATGCGGAAGGCGACCAGGGCACTTGTGCAGGCCTTGCAGGCCAACAATGAGTTGATTCGCAATCTACAGGGCCTGGAGAGCTTGCAGACGATTTCCAATCGCCAGACTGCCCGTGCAGATGGCCAACTTCATGAGACTTGGCTATAATTTGATATGCTGATTTGTATGCGTTGATTTGCATGTGCTTGCTTGTTGCTGCATTGGTGGTTTCTGATTTGTGGACTCAGGAAGGGGAAATGCACCGAGACCTCCTTCTCAACATGATGCGGAACATGGTATCTTGGCTATTAGTGCATGCGCTTGGTATATGGTAGTGTATGCACTTATTGGCAATATCCTAGGTAGATGCGGCTGATTATGATGAGCTTGCGGCAGCAGAAGCTGGCTCACCTGCCTCTTCAATGCCAGCCTGCCCAGCATCCACTGTGCCACCAAGGGCACCACCTCCAAAGCCTCCAGCGCCTCCACCGATGGAGCCTCAAATGACAGCCCCAATGCATGGAGGTCCAACAGTGCTGCCTCCACAAATGACAGGGCCTCAGATGACAGCCCCAATGCCGCCGATGGGACCTCAGATGACAGCTCCAATGCCGTCGCCTCCACCAATGATGATGCCCCAGATGACATCCCCAATGCCTGCAGCTCCAATGGTGCCTCCCCCCAATGACGACGCCTGGGATGTTTCCACCAATGCCTCCACCACCTATGATGCC